TAAGTGGTTAGCTGAATTGAACGGAGCACTTTGTAACAGTGATGAACATTATCCAAAAGAATTAAAACATTATATAGAACTAGCAGGCATGTGTTTCAAATCATTGCTAGACCTTGAAGAAATAAAGGACGATGATCACTTAAGGTATCTGAAGTATAAACGGGATGCCAAAGTAATTAATTTCAAAACGTTATTGATACAAATTAAAATGTTGATACCTATTTCATGTTATTTGGAATACTGCATAATAATTTGACCTTGCATCTTACCAAATCCAACATGACGTAATAAATTAGATACAACAATTAAATTATGTAGGTAACTAGGTAGTTAATAATAAGTTATGGCAAACACTTACTTTTTAAACAGTTTGATTCGATCAATTATCATGACATTCCATAGAAACATTAAAAATAAAAATCTTAAGTATTATATTTAAATACTTATTCAAATAACTCAACAGTGGTCCCGTGACTTCCACGTCAATAATGCGACTGTAGGTTACAGCAGTAATAATGCAATTTAAGAAACAATTGTATTGATGAATAATAACACCAAAGCCGACTTCATAGTTTAGAAGCCAAGTTTATACATGATACAAGGAAACTCAAAAATAATATTTTATCTGTCTTAGAGTTGGAAATTATAGTTATTTTTTTTTAAATCTAATACCTGTATGTTAGTATAAAAATCTTCTTCTCCAAGTCATTTACAGGCCATTAAGACCCATTTCTGCAGCAACCGCTCGCCTCCACGGGTCTCCGTCTCTTGTCAGTTCTTCCCCATTCTCTATTCCAAGTTTTTTCAGATCCTTGACTACTCTTTCCTTCCATCTTCTTCTAGGACGTTCTCTAGGACTTTTTGTGTATGGCTTCCATTTTGTGACCTGTCCAATTTGCCACTACGATCACCACAAGGACCAGCCCAGCTCAGTCTACTACTTTTTAATATTCCGTTTATATCCGCTTATCCGTATAGGTTATGTTTTTCCTGATTTATCCTCATTTTGTATTCTCCTTCATTGTTAATTTTTTTCCATAGATTCTCCTTAATATCTTCTATTTGAAGGTGGCCAGTTGAAGTTCATCCGATTTTGTTGTGGTCCAAGCCTCACATGCATACAAAGCTGCGGGTCTCACTAGCACTTGGTAAAGAGTTAGTTTTTATGTCCACTCCTAGGTATTTGAAATTATCTACTGTTTGGAATTTATTGTCCCCAATATCCAAGTGCCCCGCACTATGGTTATTTCCAGTTACGACCATGTAATTTGTCTTATCCTCGTTTATTGTTAACCTGATTCTCTTTCGATTTTCCATTAAATTTCGTATAGTATCCTTTAGACTAGCTTCATTTTCTGCCATTATTACTGGATCATCTGCTTAGACGGCCAGTTTCAGTTGCTCGTCAATTCCAACTTTTACTCCATTCGCTGTCAATACTTCCACGAAAATAGACCATCATAATATACTCTATCCAGCTCGTCATAGAAAGCATTTTGTTCTTATAACATAAATAACGTTATTAACATTCATATTATCGTAAATTTATTAAAAATGCCACAAAACCGGCAATGTTAAATTCTAAATCATGTACATATAGCTATACATTTAGTTTCTTCACAATAACTATAATGACTTCAGCAGTTATTTTGAATGTAAAACGTTATTAACAAACAATTTATGGAGGTGGATTAATTTTACAAGACTATGCAAGTTTTCTATTTTTTTTTAAATCGTTAAGTTAAGTAATGTAGACAAATGTAAGTTAAGTTTTATGTTAAAAGATTTAATTTTCTTCTTTTTTTAAATTAGTAAGAGTCACATGTTAACTCAACTTCGTTACTGTTTTTAAAGCTATAACAACATAGTTATTAGAGGTCTTAAATAATTAAATAAATGTATGTAGTAAAATGAGTTGTTATAACTACTCATATTAAACTATAATACTTCAATGTATTTATAAACACTTAGAATCTCGGAGAATTCTAAGATAAAATGTATTTATGTGCATTTATTATAATCAAGCATACATAATTAATCAATACATTTTTATTTCCAGATTATATTAGCCAATAACAGTTTTGAAGTTCTTGTATGGCCTGGTGGTTGGCATTTTAGTAATTTATATACGAGTGCAACAACATCAGAACAATCAATTGTTTTTAATGAACTACATTCTCTGAGAAATTCAGATTGTCCATACATTAATAAGATAGAATTAAACATTCTACTTTATCGGTTATATATTGTTATGAATACGCCAAATCGTGTATATTATAATCAAATGTACTCATTTATAAAAAGTGCTATTGACAATGTAGTCGTTACTGCAGAGGTAAACCCATTTTGATATTCATATATTTAATATTCAATTTGTTTTAGAAATCTTAATGGCTAATAAATAAATAAATAAAAAAAAATAATAATCGGAATTCATTCACATATTTTAATAACATACCTATTACTAAATCACTGATAAACGAAACTATAGAATAAGTAGTCAAGTATTAGGTTCTTAATATTTTTTATGAAAAAATGTATTTCAAACCGTTTCATTTGAATACAAATTTGTTAAATTCATAATTTTATTATTATTTTGATAACATTATATGAAGTATATATAACAATTTAAGTACTATATAGTACTGCTGCTGACAACATTGTTATCTCAATAGAATATTAGTCACCGACTATAATTATGCTGATACTTTTATGGTAATGTTGTCAATTGTGTCATGTAAGGTATTATTATTGTAGTATTGTAAATTAGGCCTTGTAGTCCATTCGATATCCTAATTATAGATATAAACACTTAGTAGTGTTTTCCTGTGGCAAATTGAATCACTGAGTAGATAGACCAGTATTTACGAAATACGAGCTCGCATTTTTTGTGACAGTGCAGAGTTGCGTGCGATTGTTTTTTTTTTTTTGTGACAGAACTGCCGTACATGAAATACAAGCCAAATATTTAATTGACAATAAAAATTATAAGATATGTAAATACTAAAAATGGCCACAGTCTTATGTCTTCGTATCAACTCGTTGATGTTCCCATTCATTCCAATCTTTTAGGGTGGTCTTTGTCTAGAAGATAAAAAAAAATACAATTGTTTTGAACTTAAAATTGGTATATTAAAATAGAGAGGGCGTGTAAATATAAGTATTATTTATGTGTCGCATGTGCTGTGTGTGTATACCTAATGAACATGTATAATGTATATTTATACATTGCATCATCTCACATCATGCATGGCCTGTCATAGTTAATTATCCTGTGTTTTATATTTAATTATACTATAGAAATATCTTATAGTATATAAAATAATAGAATTTGATACAACAACATTTTCTATTGGTAGAATTTATATATTTATAATGGATCTGATAATTTAGCGTTTTGCGTCATAAAAAAACAAGGCATAAAAATATATCATTATACCTAAAATCTATATATTTCTGTCTTACTTGACCCTCCAATCTTCTTTTCTAATTTAATTGTTTTTATTCACTATTTTATTCATTAATTTTAGGATCGAGCGAGAAATTTGGAAGCTCATGAACTATTTAGTATGTTTTTGATGATGCGTAATAGCAATGCAATTGAAAAGGTAAATTAAAATATGAATTCACATTATGATGATTTAATAATGTACATCCTTATAATAATATAATTATAAATTCACAAAAACTTTTAATTTGTTGGTGAAACTTATGACTTCTAACATAAAAGCTAGAGCTATTGCATATTATTTTCAAAAGTGACATATATCATTGAGAGTAAACTGTCTAAGTTACACATATAACGTATATTATTATTGTACGTGCCCAAATGTCTGGGTTATCCGAAGGACCACTCTACCGATTGTCGAGACCAATAAGACAGAACAGATTTTTGCTCCTTGATTTAATGTATTTAGGCCACCTAACTTACTACCCCGTGATTAGCTTGGGTAGGCAACCTGACGCGCAGAACTACGACGACGATGAGGATAGGGAGTACCGAACACGGGAGTAAGGGTGGTACAATTTAATTATGGGGAGGGGCTCTCTGTGGCTGGATCGATCTGGTGCAATGACCACAGAGCTCACATACAACTGGGACAATAACTTAAAATTAACTTAGGCTACGGAAGTCCGGTTATGACGGTGATCAGCCGCAGACGTGGAGTGCTCTCAACGACCTGGGCGGCCTCTCACACAACGCTCAGTTGCTGGCGGACTTATGCAACGGACGACTCGTTCGCTGGTGAAGAATCTCGACGACCTGGGCGGCCTCTCACACAAAGTTCAGTTGCTGGTGGACTTACGCAACGGAAGACTCGCTCGCTGATTCAGAAGAGACCCGACAGCAATTATAGTGCGACACCCAACGTTCGGTAGATACTGGCCAATAGAAAATGAATCGGGTGGTTCTGGGCCTTCCCAATGAAGGTACGAAAAACAAGTATTGTGTGTGTTGATCAAGAAGCAATTTATTACACATATGCGCTTAATGTGACTTACAATAAAAACATCAAAACGAAATATAATTGAATTACAGCATGAAGGCGCTGCAATAGCGGGAGAATAAAACTTACGTACAAATTTGTTGTCGCTTTATTAGTGAGCAACAACGTCGACAAAAAACAAAAACGACAACAACAAAAACGGCAGACAGTTCGACGCCAATAATAATACGAAAAAGATAATAATAATAGTAATAATAATAGGGCGTTGGCCGCTTAACAGATATCATAAAAATCAAAACAATAACATTGATAATCTCGAGACCAACGAACGAACAATGATTATAACACAAACGACAAAACAAAGAGCATACATTAAATAATAATTACAATCATATAAAACACGTTACAGGACAGAGTGGTGGATAGAAGAGGAGTAAGATGTCGCCACCGCGACTATTACTGTCGCGCGATAAGACGCGATAATATTGCTCGGCGCGAACAATTATGTATAATTAATAATACAAAATAAGAATAATTATAATAATTTAAGTACACTTTATTGGACGTCTATATAATATTAGAGCATATACATAGAAATAAAGTTTTAGTATTTTAAGATTTTCAACAACTTAAAAATGTACTTTTAACACCTTAAGCGGGGGAGTTAAATACTACATAAAACATTTTAATACTTCTTACATTAAATATAATAATTGTGTAGTTATGTATTATGATACACAAATTTTAAGGATGTGTCTTTTTTTTAGGGGTGTAATTTCAAGAACTCTCAAGACATATACAATACGTTTTTGAAGCTCCCCTCCAAGTAACTAGGTAAATCAAACACAGTAATTCAATTTCATAATTAATTATAATTTAAATTTCCTATTTTCTTTCTATATGTGAATATTAAACATAATATAACAGTTATAATGAGTAATAGAAATGCCATTGAAAAGATAAATAAAAATACGTATTCGCATTTTGTTAATTTAATAATGTACAATTTTATACTTTAACAGTGGGAATGTGTACCTAATTAATAAATAGGTTATAGGTATGATTAGGACATTACTACATTAGGTTACATTTTTACATACATCATATTATAAAAAATTAAAACCCTGCTGAGTAGTGATGGTAAGTCAGTTTACATTACCAAGGGTCATTCACAATTTATTAATATTGGGTAGGTATGTTGATATTTAGTACGATGATTAATGAGTACCGTATATGATAGGCTTAACTATTTTGTTGAAAACATTGTATATATTTTGTAATTATAATTATAATATAATAAATTATTATTTAAATATAATTTACAAGCCGATGTCAACCTACTGTATAATGGTATTAATAGGTTCATGTTTTATAACTTAAAAAAAGTTAAAAAGCAGCTTAAAATGAGTCTAAATATTCTAAAAATTACGTTGTGTTTAGAAAGTAGGTTAGGTTAGGAAATGAAAAAAATTTTTATTTAATTTTTTATGTTTTAATATTTTCGTAAGAGTCAACAATATATTTATGTGCCACCTACTTATTAATTATATATTTATAATACGTGATTAGTTTGGAATTGAGCACACCTTTATGTGTTTATAATCACTAATCTAAGTAACTAGTTTTAACTCTTATTTTGTTAGCTGATGCTTGATTATCAGTCCTCGGTTTCGCATCTACACGAACCCGTTCCCCGTAGAGCAAAGGACTCCAACTTGGCGTTGAAATCACCGTACCCCGGGAGGAACTGGCTCACGTAGTGATCCACCTGGAGAGGAAGTTCCAGTCTCCTCCTGATGTCGGGAATTATTGAGTGTGTCCACCGACCCTTCTCGCTGACATCCTACCTATCCTGCCAGATGTCCAAGATCATATCTCACTGGTACCTCATCTCCTCCTCCGAGATCAGACTAGCTTTCCTCTTATTTCTAACCACGTACCAATGGATTTCCAAAACAAGAGGCAGCTGCCCATAAACGACCCTCAATGCATCCATCGAGGTCGTTCCGTATGCCCCTGTGAGAGAGAGGAGGACCTTCCTTTGCTTGCTGCCAAGAAGTTTTATCACCTTCGCTGTAAGCACCCCTTTCGACCAGATCTCCGCGGCGTAAGTGATACGTGGCAGGAAGACTGCTCTGTATATTACGGTGGAGGTGGACTGCTGGAGGCCCCAGTTGGCAGACGAGGCCACTTTGAGCCTACGTTAAAGATTGTCAGACTTTCCTGCAACGCTACTCACGTGTGCCCAGAAATTTCTAATACTGCCCAGCTCAACACCCAGATACCCAACTGAACTCACAACCACGATGTCCTGATTTCTCAATAATTTCAACAAGATAGGAGACCGTGATAAGAACCACCAGGTCATCCACACACGCGACCAGTTAAACCCTATCTTCGTTGTTGGTGACCAACGCCCTATCCATCGAAAGGTTCCAAAGACTTATCCCTAGCTGTGAGCCCTGTGAGCAGCCTCTGGTGAGATCTGTGGAGCACCGCCCTTCTGCTCGTGAGATAACTCTGAATGATAAATCTGGTTACGTCAGATTCCCCCAAATCCATCACGTCCCTAATCAGAACATCCCATCTCAGGTTGTCCAAAGCTCCCGAGATGTCCAAAAAGATGACTACAACCATACCCTCGCTGTTGTCTAATCAATCCAAGCACGACTTGATCGCGCTGATCGTGGACTTGCCGACCCTGAAACCATGTTGCTCTGAGGAAAGAGCACCCCCCATTTACTCCTCAAGCCTGTTCACTACCAGCCGCTCCAACACTTTTGACGGTGCCGAAAGCAGACTAACTATTCTATATGACCCGACAGCAGACTAACTGGTCTGTATGACTTAGGAAGACTCGGGTCCCTGTCCTCACCCTTCCTGATGATCACCACCTCTGCTGTTTTCCAACAGTCCGGAAATTCATACTTCCTGAGGCACTCTCGCAAGACGTTGGTTAGCGGCTTACCTATAGCGACCCAGGTCTTCCTGAGCACCCTAGCGGTGATCCCATCCAGTCCCGGAGCTCGATAGGGGCAATCCTCTAGACAGCCCTCTAACCTCGGCCTCCTAGACCTCTTGTCTCACTCTTTCTACACACTCTCTCTCAAAGACGGGAGCAGTCCTATTCCGGGGGATGCCAACAGACACTCAGCCGTCTCCTAGGTTAACCTAACTATCCGTCTCACCTCGAAGAGCACGGCGTTGGGAATAATACTCTTAGAAGATCCATTCCTAGCCCAACGGTAGACCGGGCCCCAGATGTCAGAGTTGATGGAGGTAGCAAACTTCCTCCACGAATCTATCTTGGTCTTCCTAATCTTTTTCAGGTATTCGTTCCTGAGCACTCTGAGTTATCCCTGTCCGAGATTTTACAGTCACTGGTACGCCTGAAGTTATTGAGGCGCTTCTTGGACTCCTTGCGCATTACCAGGGGGTTTTATCCAGACAGACTTACGGGAGCGGGGCATGGATACCTCCATCGCTTGCCCGAGGCCGCGTGTCAGAGACTCCGCTTCCTGTCCGCAACCACCCACTATGGTCTCAGGTCATCGATGACCTTCTGGGCCAGAACGCACCTGAACCTGTCCCAATCTACTTTCCTAACGTTGAAGCGACTTTTCCATACCTCGAGTCCATCGGACAATTTCCATCGGGACAGTCATGCAGCGTACACGCTCCCTTGTGCCATTCGCAAGGTCTCATCTTCGTGTTTATCCTTTTCTTTGGTCGACAGAATCGCCTTGACCATGTGGATGAACTCCATTCGATTAATTTTGAACTGTTCGATAATTCTCCTTGGTCATCTTTGATGGCCCACAAGCATCTGCCTTGTGTGAGCGACGTCTTGCTCACTCCTTCTTCCGGCGCTCCTGTTCGCTCTCCCACCAGTTAGGAGTCAGTATGGTGTCCGTCCCAACGTCAACCGTCTCCGGCCTGTCAATTTCCCTGATTACTGGGGCGGTCGCCGAGTCGTTTCTCAATTTCTTAACTGGGGGAAGAAAGGGTGCGACTCGTTTGCGCACATTTACCTTTTTTACAACACGTTTGCGCACAAAATCACAACTCGTTTGCGCACACATATTTTAGGTTTAAATAATAAAGGTACAACTCGTTTGTTCGATTATACGCGTAAATAATATTGTCAATTATTAATTTAAAATTTATATATTGAATTAAATAAAAAAGTACAAAAATAAAAGTTACTTTACGTTATTAATTTACACAATAAAAATAAAATATAAATATAAAAACATATGTAAGTACCTTCAGATATATCTATTATAAATATGATTTTAATATTACAAAAATTAAAATATATTAAAAAACATGCATTGTAGGTTTAATAAGTAATAATAGTAGTCTATTAGTTATAAAATTATACTAATTTAGAATGGTGACATTTAAGTCCGATTTTCTTCATATAAGTTAAACGATTAATATTATTATTTTTATATTCATTCCAAATGTTTTCCAATTGTATCTCCTTATTAATTGTCTCTTTTCTTTTGAAATTTATGATTTTATTGTTTATCGAATTAATTTTTAAATCAGTGTCACTTTGAATTCCAATAATGACGTCGATTACTTGATGTATGTGCGGATGAGCAGTGTAAAACTGACTATTATATTGTTTGTGATAACTCTCGGCACCATTAGTAGTCTTAGGATTATTAGTAGGTTCACAAGCCCATAATGTTGGAGGGAATTTGCTGTCCGATGTTATGTAATTTTCTAAAATATAATCGGAAAATATAGAAATATTAGACGTAGTACTTGGTGCTATTGACATAAGATCACAAAATCCATCGGAAACTTCGTCAGGGGGTAAATAACTTAATCCAAAAAAACATTTCATCCATTTTCCAACTTCTGAGTCGTTGTTTAAGTACTCGCTCGATAATAATTTATGTTGTTGAATATGCCTAAACCAATTTTGCCCTAAATGAAAGTTACAACACATGATTTTGCATTTAGGGAAAATTTGCAATACTGCATTATGCGCAGATTTTTCAAAGTCGACATGAAAATTGCTTAAATTTATTATATTACCAGTAATTTGAATACATATATTTTGTAATGTTTTCCACATACTGATGTAAGTATCAGTATGTTTGTTACTTAAAAAACAAAATGCCACAGGAACATAAAAATTGTTTGTAAATACGTGAATAGTATAAAGTTGAACAAAATATTTCGGAGCGAATGAAAATGTCCCATCCCCAAAAACGTGTTCTGCACTTTGTAGCAATTCCAAATTTTGTTTACATGTAAATATAAATATATTTTCATCATCACTAACGAAACAAAATTTATTACCTTTGTAAGTAATATTATGCTGATCATCAACTAATTGTTTTTTAGCATCTTCTAAAGATCTCGGTATGTTTGGAAAGGATTTTTTTCGTTTTTCATACATGGATCTTCGAATTAATTTCATATCGCTATATTGAAGATGTTCAGATTTTTCGTTGTTTTTCAATTCCCGGCGTATTAGTTTATTTGGTTTAATATGTAAATCCTCTTCGGCTCTACGTTTCAAATTGCTTCTTACTACTTCTCGATGAATTGTTCGGTCGTCGTACTCGTCATGGGTATGCGTGTTTGTAATTTTTAAAATTTTATATGATTCATTAACTAACCTAACTACAGCACTTACGGAACAATTTTTATTTGTACACCTAAAATTTTTATCACCAGATTTTAAAGTTCGGAATTCTCTAAATTTATAATTTTCTATGTTTAAACATTTTTTTCCTCGACGCGTTTCAAAAACATCACAAATTTCGATATCCATAGTCAATATAGTCAGTTGTTATAGTACAGCTTTCTGGCGAACGACTGTTTAAAAGTATTATGCTTTCCTAATACACGACGATTATTTTAAATCGATATATATTGATTATTGATATGCTGGTAATTTGTACTGATAATTTTTACCGATAATTCAATTACTTTAGGTAAGTCCAAATTTAAAAATATAAAATATATGTTACTCAGTGTTTATGTTGTGCGCAAACGAGTCGTCCGTTACAGGTAAACGACTGATTTCGTTGTGCGCAAACGAGTCATCGATATCTAGGTAAAAAATGTAGATTGTGCGCAAACGAGTTGCACCGGGGAAGAAATGATGACCTCAATTTCCCCTTTTTTGTGAACGATGTAGAAAACATTTTTCAATATCTTAATGAGGCGGTTGGATCCCAAATTATCTCCTCCTAGTATCGTATCGTTCATTGCGGTTTTCAGTAAGGATTTGATGTACGCCAGTTCCGCCTTTATCTGATTCTCACTGCCCTCCACCTTGGAGGTAGGTGATGTTGTGGCGACCTTTCGTTTAACACCCATCACTGGTGCAGTGTCACACCTGGTACACAAACTGTAACCCATCGGTCTATAGTTTTGGGACCCAACCTTCCTGACAACCGAAACACCAGTTTCACATTCCATGTCGTCATCATTGACATCGTGGTTGCCGCTATTCATACTTCAGCGACTCAGTACTTTATTAGCAGCTGTATATCATACAGTGTGTAGATAGCCCGTGTAATTCTATATGCTATTCGTTTTTCTTCCGCCTCAGCTGTGCGCTGCCTGATTCCGCGATGCGGGTTCGGCGATAACGGCGACGACGACAGCTCGTCGACTGACCTTTGGCCGACCGTTCGCCGATAAGAAATAATAATAATGCAACAAACGTTGCTCCTACCTTAATTCGTAGTCGTGCAATCCTAAATTAAAATTACCCTTATGGGAGAGGTTTTTATACTACCTACTCAAAACCGACACAGATCCGATTTCAGTACAAATATCATAAAAAACTATTAACAATTAACAGCTGAAAGCGCCTTAATATCAGGGCGATGCTAACACGCATGCCACTGTTACGACAGCCACCGCTGAACTGATCCTATTTGGTACTTATACTTTTCTAGTATTCCTCATATAATATTGACCTTCCATTATACGTTTAAATAAAATAGTATCTTTACTATTTTTTTAAAAATTATTACTTCTCAGAAAAAGTTATACATTACATACATAACAATTAACGTACTGTAATATTTAAACTATTTAAGCTTTTAATGTGTATTTTGCATTTTATTAGGTTTTGACAAATATCAGTCCTCAAAGTGGATGAAGAAAATACGTATTCAAAAAAATTCATATTAATAATGTACTATAACTACATATGACATATGTTTAATCACTTTAATATTGTCATCATTTTTAAAATTCACACATATTAAATACAATTTTATTTTCAGTTAAATATCATAATGTTAACCTAATATTATTATTTTTAATGACATTGTAGTACATTTTGTTTGATTCATTTAATAAACGTCAATTTAATATATATACGAGTATTTGGGACATTTATAGAACTACATATAACTTATATACATAAGAAGTTTACTAACTAATCTTATCTTGGACTGACGATCTTTAGGATTACCTATTCATAATTTTTTATTTTTCATTTCATAGGCATATTGAATTTTCAATTATTACTAGTTTTTTTCTAATGTCGATAAAAAAATTTTCAACATTGTCACTTTCAATTTAATTTTTAAATGACTTCAAAATTTGAACTTCAAGCTTCGATTGATATTGTATCAATATATTTGGATCCTTGTTTTAAATTTTCATGATTTTTGAACCAACAAATACAATTGTATTGACATTTATAAAAATATACTAAAATAATTAGTATATTTAATCAGTTAATTTTAAATTGAAAATATTCCTAAACAGCTCAATACGAGTCAAAATATTTAAAGTATATTTTCAAGTACATGAGTTGAAATTATTACAATATGGTGTAAAACTGTAAATTTAAAGGATTGACATTTATTCGTTTTCGAATTACAACAAAATAAGGAAATCGTTGAATGAAAAATTTAATAAATATCAAATGTTCTAAAACATTTAATTTGACTCATTTTTTGTCTATGATAAAGTTAGACAAACTTATAAGGGACTTTGGATTCAATTTTAAAATCTTGAATATAACAATAATTGTATGATGTTATTTATAAATAGATCCAATATATTTATAAGAAATCGAACCGAGGTTATATTTCAGTTTTTTATAAGACTAAAATCATATTCGATTAATCCTAACCAGTGTTGAGACTTATCTTGATGAAACAATACTCATCTAGTTTCGTATCTAGATAACTATTGTAACATTTATCTATAGATTATCTTAGATGACACATTTACTTAGCTAAATAAATTTATCAAGATACATCATGTTTATTTCCCTAACTTAACCTTGTGCCCGGAACGACAAAAGTATTGGTTATCATCATATTTTTATAATAAATGTATAGGCTTTATCACCGACTTCTACATCCCCCCTCTCCCTCACCATCATTATTATTATTATATACCTATAACGTGTGCTAATCGCCGTTTTGTTATATTTGAATTGATAGAACAAATCGAACCTTTTTTTTTTATTGAACTTAAACCCGGCGGCAAAGGCCATTAGCTGTTGTAGGGGTTCTGAACTGAAGTAGGGGTAAGGTTGGTACAATAAGTTGTTTTTACGATTGTTACGGTTGTTATGGTAAGTAGCAAACACGTGTATGTGTGGCAACGTTTTTAACTACTATGAACCCGGGTAGTCACCCACCCGGGAGCTAGTAGCTGTGGCTGTTACCTACTCCCAGTCGCCGTTTCAGATAATCATATTATATTAATTCTTTACAACAAATCGCCATTTTATTATCATTTAATACTTTTGGTGTGTTATTTTCAGTGTTTTGTGTGCAATTATTAGCATTTTTTAGGATAGGGACTAGACTGGCCATCTGTATTACACTGTCGTTTGTCAATCTGATTGTACCTATGATATATTGATATATGTATATCTGTGTCAGTGTAAATTAAACTCTTACTATTATTATTATTTTTATGTATTGTAACCAGCAACACAAATTAATCAATTTAGATTAATTTAACTATATATTATATTATATCGGCTCAAATAGCTGCATAGTATACTACGTTTATAAGTTTTGCCAAAAGGGCCTTCGTTTATATACTGTGTGTTATTTAAAACAGTATTATAGCGCAACTCGATTATCAAAATCTGTGTTATAGTTGTATTCCAGTTTTTAATTCATATAACTGTATAAATACATATTTAATACTAAATGTTCACCTAGGTAAAGAAATGAATTTGTTATTTTAATATAATAAAAATTAGTCTCATATTATTTATTTAAAAGTTAGATGTTCTTTATCTAATAAAGGTAAATGCAAAATGTATTTGTATTCATCTGTATCAAGATGAATTTATATAAAATTATGTATATCTTATCTAGATGAAATTGACGTTATCAATTATAAACACAGAAAATGACCAATAAATGTAACAGGAATATGTGTAAATATGATTCAGTATAATAAATATACAGCTATACATTTCATTAATTTAAACTTTTTTATTCGTGTTTACATTTTAAGAGAAGATTACATAATATAATACTAAGACTCCAACACTTCAAAATCAATGTCATTTGTACACGATAATATCATTGCAACGCTATAGAAACATTTTTCCAAGACGTTGAGATATTATTATATTTCGGGTTTATAGGATATTGATGTACAGACATAAAATAGTATTACATTAAAACAGGTATAAGATGTTTAGCAAATGTTTCTAGGCGCTGTTATCATTACAACTTAAATCGTATTGAAACATGAAGTGCATGGTAGGTATATGACGCAAGTGAAATAAATATTTACATAATAACTCATATATTAAACTAGATATCACACCTTTATCAGAAATAATACAACTGTGATCCTGCAAAAACAAAATATTGCAACATGGTTAACATTGAAACATTTGTGGTAGCATTTGTGTCACACTTATTCCCAACAATTTATTAGGTACCTATCTACGTTCTTTAAAATCAGTTATTATTCAACCAACAATAATTGTATATTGCATTATACTTTTTATAAAATAGAAAAATAAATTTTAATTTTAGAGGCACCATGTACATCCAATTTTTAATTCTATGGCTATATTTCCAAACAGTTCACAGCGAAATGACAAGATGTCAAATAGGTAATTAATAAGTAAATTGTGTAACTATTTATTAAAATTAAAATAAATATTTTTTTGAAATTTGTTAAAATATTGACGAACAAAAAAAAAATTAGATCAATAAAAATCTGATTTTATAAATCGAACACCACAAAAGTATTTATTGTCATTATTAATATTCCGAATACATCCGTGTATTTTTATTTTTAAACGTAGCTTATGACATAAATTATTGTAATAAACAATCTGTTTAGGTGGATTACATGACGAAGATATATGCAAAACACTAATTGATGGTAAAATGATCGTTAATATATATGCTACAAGTTGACTGTACAGTGTATCTGTTAAGTTTTGGATTATGTTTGTATATCTAAATAATATTTTGTGTAGATATAAGTAGGTAGTATTATGTAGTGCCTACATGGTTGTCCTGAACTGCAATTTGTAAAGGGGGGCCCTAGATTGAGAGACTGTAGATCTATCAATTTTCTGACTCAAACAATTTTTTTCTTGCTGTGTTTGAAAACCATTACTAATTTATTTTGTACATTCAATAATTGTTTACCTTACATATATATCTTTATTAAGCTAACTATAATTTATATTTTTTGAGCTGTAAATTCAAAGTTAAAAATATCAACAATGTATAATACTTTTACATTACCCGCCATGATTTTAACCGAATTTGTTAGTCAAATTTACTTTCGAAATTCTAACTTCTCCCACTTATAATATTGTGGTTTTTAATTTTAATTAACCACAACTACTGATGAGGAACTTTCTATTCAAATTTTAAGTTTTTTTGAGAAATTTTAAAAGTAGTTCAATTTCAACTGTAAAAAAAAGTAATGAAATTGGTCTTATGCTTAAAAATGGCACAAACAGACTTAAAATATTTTTGAAATTGTATAATGGTAAGAAAATTTAAACAATCCTAGACATTCGTTGAAAACTGCATATACCTATCTACGGTATGGTTATTTTGTAATAATATATAATAAATATCGGTTTCGTTCACATTCAATTTGAATAAAAAGAGTGGCGTTCATGTATCGATAACTAAATATGAACATGAACGTATGAACGTGTGAAGCTACCTGATTATCTAATTGCCTCTAATAACTCTATTCCTAACATGAACAGTTCATCTGAAGTTGAACGTCTCGTCTCTAGGCCCGATTTATTACCAGAATCTCAATACACGCTTAAATACTGATTTACGTTAGATTTATAATATAGACTAACGTTGTTGTTCATTTTACGCATCGAATTTGTTGAAGTAAATCTAACCTTGTTTCTGACTTTTGTTCGTAAATACTGAGAAATGTTTTCCACATTTCAAAGCATTTTCACAAATATTAAATTTTGTAATTGATCATTGTCCACTGGAAAAACAGTACGTTTTTGACAGTTACCATCAGCTTTATTCAAGTGGTTTATCGAGCTTTAAAATCTAGTTCTAATTTGCTCGTTAGTTTCTTTTTAAGTCTTTGTTTTACTAGAACTAAGCTTTTTCTACTCTCTCATAATTATTAACCTTAACTAAAGTGAGTGGAGAATATGACTTTCGTTTGAAATTTTCACAAAGTATAATTTTGCACATTTGATACTTTTGTTATTTTAACTGAATCGTCGATCTTGGCTTTAACTGTTTATATAACTTCGAAAAATGACAAAATCGACTTGAATAGAGAGTAGTTCCTTTGGAGATTCAGTTTATAGTGTTTATACAGATAATTTTTTTGAGCCTATAACCTGATGAATTCAGGATTATGTTTGTATATCGGTCTAGATACATATAACTACACTATGATAAGTAATATTTTCTAACTCACAACGTAAACATAAGTTATACTATAATTCAATGCCTATAGTACGCTAAAAGTCTGTCTTATGTACACAAAATCTATTGCACAGATGGCATGATTCAACAACATTTATTACGCATATGGTGTGATTTAACAAATTGCGGAAAAACAACTATGTTGTTATTATTGCACAATACGATGTTTCTTTTTATACAATATTAAATTATACTCAATTGTATCATGTTCTGTGAACTATACTTCATACTTTCAATTATATCCTTA